AAATATGTAACTTCTTGGGATGAAGTCTTAAGTAGCTTAGTCTGGCACCTCCAATTTGTTTATTTTGTTCTGTTGAGAAAGGGTCTCACCATGTAGCCCTGGCTGGCCTAAAAACTCACTCTGCAGACCACCAGGTTGGCCTCAAACTCACAGAGATCCACCTGAGTGTTGAAATTAAAGGCGTGAGCCACCACACCTGGCTTGGCCTCCAACTTTCTAATTTATTTATTTACATTTTAAGTGTGTGTGTGTGTATATACATGCCTGCTATGGTATGCATGTGGAGGTCAGAGGACAACTTGTGAGAGTTGGGTCTCTCCTTTTACTAAGTGGGTTCTGGGGATTGAACTCAGGTAGTGTCTTTAACCTGCTGAGCCATCTCACTGACCCTGGCCTCCAACTTCTGATGTAGTGGAGGATGGTCTTAAATTCTTGATCCTTTTGTCTCTACTTCCCAAGCACAGGAATTATAAGTATGGGCCACCATTCCTGGCTCCATTTATTTATTTATTATATTTTATTTATTTATTTTTATTTTATTTGTCTTTTTGAGACAGGGTCTCCCTGTAGCCCCAACTGTCCTGGAACTCACTATGTAGACCAGGCTGGCCTTGAACTCACAAAGATCTGCCTGCCTCTGCCTCCCAAGTATTGGGATTGAAGGTGTGTGCCACCACGCCTGGCTTGTATTATTTTTTTTTTTTAATGTGTATGAGTGTATTGCCTATATGTATGTAAGTGCACCCATATTGTGGGTAATACCTCTGGAGATCAGAAGAGAGAGTCAGATCACCTGAAACTGGAGTTACCAACAGTTGTTAGCTGCATATGGGTGCTGGGAACCAAACCTGGGTCCTCTGCAAGAGCAGCCAATGCTCTTAACTGCTGAGCCATCTCTCCAGCCCCACATTTATTTTTGTTATTTTTATGTATGTATATATGTGTAGCTGTGTGTGCATACCATGTGTGTACACCCTCAGAGGCCAGAAGAGGGCATCAGATCATCTGGAACTAGAGTTATGAAGGGCTATTAGTAGTCAGTGAGTGCTCTTAACCACTGACCCATCTCTCCAACCCCCTGCTTAGGTCTTGACCACTAACTCTGGCCCTCTCTAGGCTGCATGTGTGATTTCAAAGGGCCCTCCCATCCTTGATAGTATTTAGATTTGTGAACATATGGGAAAAAGCCCTTGGGTAGTGTATTCATCCCCATCTAGGTCAACAGGACTGCCAAACTGGGTTCCCATTGACAACAGGGCTTCAGATCCAAGAAAGCTTCTGCCTATAACATTTGGTTCTGAAAGAAAGCAGATGGTGGTGAGGAAAGGGGATATTCCTAGCTGTTAGGTCAATGTGGTAGAGAAGTATAAGGCAATGGTGGGCTCCACCATGGAGGGATTTAAATCTGAGCTGAGGACAGAGGGCTTACAGAAAGCTGTCCCCCTATCAGGGACTTCTAGCAAGCTAGTGGTCATGACCTAAGTAGGGGGCTGGAGAGATGGCTTAGCAGTTAAGGGCACTGCCTGATCTTGCAGAGGACCCAAGTCCGGTTCCCAGCACCGACATGGCGCCTGACAACCATCCATAACTCCAGCTTGTCAAAGGCAACCTCCAATTCCTGGTCTCAAGGTGACCTATCCTCCTATCCTGACTGCCCACTGTCCCTACCCACAGCCTGACCTCCGCATCTTGTCCACTAAGCCTAGCCACAAAATGACTACCAAGTTCTACCCATACAGCAGAGGCTGGTAGAGCCTCAATCCTGGCCACTCTGACTCATCTTAGACACAGAGAGCCCCCTTGACCTTGTTTCTGACTGATCCCTAACGGGAGAAAAATGAGCGGACAATGTCAAACTGCTAGTGAAGCAGGACATCAGAGAAGAGCTAGGGTGGGTGGGGAGGGAGGGAGGAGTTCTGGCTGAGGGCAGAGAAGCCTGGTGGCCCGAGGCCACTCTCGGAAGGTCGGAGAGGCCTTGTGCAGGGCACATCGCAGGCGCTCGAGGAATGCGAGTTGCCTGAAAGAATGAAGGAAGGAAGGAACGGGGTGCGATCCAGGCGGCCGCCGGACCGGGTCGAGGCAGGAAGCCGGGGTGGGGGCGCGGCGAGGCTGCAGCGGCCCGAGCGCAGCTGGGGGCAGCGACTCGGCCGGGCGCC